TGGAAAGAAATTGCTAAATTTTAAGTTTTTAGGGTAAAAAATGGAAAAAACCAATTTTTACCCCATAAAACCCCCCATAAACCCCTGTTCCCATAGTCCGATCATTCTGGTTCGCTAAAAAGGGTTATAATAAAACATCTTGAGGCAATCTGGGTTTCAGCCAGAATCTCTGGATTTCAGAAGGTTAACCTATGTTATAAAATCCAATGCTGCTGGTTAATGGAAGTTTTGTAAAGAATTTCAAGGTAGTTTTCTTGATGAAATCTTCTATGATTTGATTTCCAGTTTTAAACGTATTTGACGGGTTCGAATATACCAGGGGTATTTTAGGATTGTCCTTAAACTTTATTTTGAAACGTTTTGCAATTTACGAATTGAGCTTGATGAAGCAGAGTTCCCACACTGAGCAGGCGTACGACAATAGTGGACTTATAGAAGAGTTTTGTATAGAAGGGTGAGAGTTGATGTATAGTTTTTAAACATGTGTTCATTATTAATTAATTGTTTACGTTCGCCAAGTTTGTAAATAGAATGAATTGAGTAAAATATTGTTTCTTTCGAATTGAATTTAATTATTATCGCCACACTACAATGTTTTAACGAACTTCTCACGCAAGGATTTAGTCCAGAAAACAGCTGTTTGCCGCCAGATTAATCAAATGGGGTTTCATTGCGTACCATTGACTATTGGAATAGTCAAAGGTACTACTGTACTGTAATGAGTTTTTACCGGACACCAACCAGCTGATTATATTTGGCAATGTGTGGTTATAAACAAAAACATAGCCTCTTGGAGGTTATGAGTAGGTAGGTAGTGATTGTTAGTCCTTTAGTCGGTGGGAATATAAGGATTTGTACAGATTTTTTATTGTTAAGTTTAGCTTAGAGTAGTATATGGCTTAAAATATCGTACGTCACTCGTCCAAAATCTGTTTACCGGACTCGTATGGTAATCCCGTACTCGACTTCGTCTCGCAGGGGAACGACCACACTCGTCCGGTAAACACCTATTTTCAGGACTAGTAACTTAATATAGGCACTATTGTTTTAGCCATAAAAACCTATTAAATCCAATGTAAAGGATAGGTCTATTTATAACCTAAAAACCACATTGAACTATCAAACACAAAGATAATATGTTTTGTGTCAATTTAACCTACAAAGTGAACAAAAGCTGAAAGATTTAGAAAATTGTTCCACGACTTTCAATCTCACAGTCAAGTCACAGTACAGTATTTAGGTAAGTTCCTACCTACGAAGTTCATTACCATGATTCTGCCGGAAATCGTGGACCCAGCGAAGATCGGCGGAACGGTGGTTTCCTTCCGGTCCAGAAGACAGCTTTCGTTTTCCCTATAATTTGGTTTGCTTGCACTGGTCTGGTGGATGCATTTAACATTTCACATGCGTGTTGTTACGTATAGGCGTCATGGCTCATAGTGCCGTGAAATCGCGACTATTTTCTCAATGTTGTCGAATTCTGGTTTTGCAAACGTTATACTTGGTAGGTTTATTATCTGAGACATCACAAGCACATCTGCGAGTGAAATGGTTGGGAGATTTGACATAGGCTACATGAGGGTCTATTTGTTTGTTAATTTTATGATTGACTTTGGATACTCCAAGTAGGCTTATTCTTGTACAATACGATTGATTTGTATTCATACGTAAAATTCCCATGCTACTCTTATGGAGAATATTGTAAAATGTTGTAGTTTGCTTGTTATGGATATATTTCGATCAAACTTGGCAAATTTGTTAACTAAATTTATTTACTAAGTTATGAATATTTTACCAAAAATAAACTTTATTATTTTCCTTGTAGCAGCAAATCTAGGTACTCATTAAACCTAATTTTATTTAAATAGGTTTAGTTGAAAATCAACTCAGGCAAATGGAAATTCGCTTTATATGTGGCAGGTTTGCTGCGGCGGGGGTAATTGTATTATTAATAAGTTGTAGTCAAACCCAAACGGGGTGAAGCCCGTTGGTAACTGCTAGTTTTTTAATTATACATTTTATTATGTTGCCACAGTTTATAAATGGAGGAAGTCAGGGCCGTCCCTAGGGTTGGCGGCGCCCGGAGCAAACGCGGTTGTAGCACCCCCTTACCCCCAGTAATAATAGTCGCATTCGCATATTTTAATACTATGTTTACTTATAGTTCATTGTTCTACAAATAAAAAATTAATATATGTAGGCCTAAAGGAATATATGGTAATATTTTGAGCCTCTAGGAAAACTTGAAAAATAAAACTCTGCTGACCGTCCAGATTTGAATTATTCTAGACTCCTACACAACGATACTGTGCTCACATCGTTTGGGTTGTTTAGTGTGAGGGATGTCTGGTAAAACTGGATTAATTTATCAACAAACCCATTTAGGTACCAATATTATACAGTGTTAAATGTGTCCCCTTTTTGGGCTAAAATAAAAGATGACTATTACATTATATAATCAGCTGGTTGGTATCCGGTAAAACTTAACGGGAAACAGCTGTTTTCTGTTTTGGACTAAATCCAATCCTTGTGTGGGAAGTTCCTCAAAACAGTGTAGTGTGGCGTAAAATAATTTACCAACTCACACTCATACTGGCATACAGTGATTGGTGAATAACTTACGGAATAATCTTTCGGTAAACTAAAGCAACGGATATGTAAGATGACAATTCCACAGTAGCGGCTAAAGGGCCAGATATGAGGATTCACATTCTTATCGATTAAGTTATACAAATTAATTTAATAAAATAATACGAGCCTCAAAGTTTGATATTTGTAAATACAATTTATTATTGTTATATGGTGTCTAGTAGTCGGGAAAAAACGGGCAAGTCGGGAAATAGTATTGAATTTCGAATCGGTCTTGAAAAGTCGGGATTTAGTCTTTATTTTGATATGAAAGTTGGGTACATATTTTCATGATTTTTACGCGATCATCACAGACGACGCCGATGACGTTTCCGTGGCCGCGGGAGTCAATGATGATGTCTACCAATGAGGGTATCGTTTTTAGAAATCACCACCAATCCCTCCACATGAAAAAAACACCAACCTATGGCCACCATTACTTAAATTTTTAAAGAAATTTAAATCCAAATTTGTAAACAATCAATTCAACCTGTAAAACGTCTGATCCTTATCAAACAAACCAAATTGTGATCGAGAAGACATTTACGTAGCCAAATTAAATTAAACCCCTCAAGAAAGCAAGAGACAAATATTATCCTGTGACCTAATGCACGGCACCCTCTAACTCCAGGCCGTGGCCTGGTAGAATTGGCAACATCGCAAGTGGTTTTGTTTAGTGACAGACGTCCCATAAGATAACATGGCAGACAGGTGACTTCAGCCACAGCCACCTCAGGTGGCTGTGCTTCAGCTCATTAATTCTCACTTTATTGATTTAAATTTAAATCTATGAACATAAATTTATTAAAATATTGAACATTAAACATACAGAATTGAAACCCGAAACAATATGAAATAAAAAAATCTATATCTGTACATTTAAAGCGGAGTCAATATTGTCATAGTCCAGTAACCAATCTTTCGTAAATACACAAATACCATTAGCTGCTTCTAAACAAAACTGCTGTTACAACACTACTTGCGACGTTGCCACTTCGAAGGCCGTGGCCTGGGGCCCTATTTTTGAAATGGTTGACAGTTGAGTCAATCGTCAGCACTCAACTCAACCAACAACATGATTTGGTATTTTTGAAACCCAACAGTTGGGAAGCGAGTTGGGAATCACTAGTTGAGAGACTCGTGGTGGAAATGTAGAGCATACGACCGTCAAAAATTCAGATGACGTCATTTTGAACCAATCACAATGCAGAGTTCTTGCGGACTTCGATTTAACCTCTTCTTACTCTAAAATTTGGCAGCTTATCTCAATCTGCCATATTTCGAGACACTGAGGTAAACTGTCAACTCCGTTCTTGAGAAATTGAGATTGAGGTTATGTCTTGCTTAATCTTAGTGATTGCAAAGTACCTTAACTTAAGTAATTAACTAAAGTAAACTAAATAAAGTAATAAACTTAAGTATAAAAAATAAAATTTACTATGGATGTTTGTTTTAGGGTGTAGCTAATTATAAGTTTAGGCATAGGCTGCACTTTACTTTAGGTCCTACACTCATCCTAAATACATTATTATTTGCTTTCTTCGTCTCTATTTCGGAACACATCACCTTATTTTAGTTTCCTTCATCGGTTTGTTTTATGTTATTTTTAATTGTTTTTTATTTAGGTTAAAGCGGCTATTTGCCATTGCACTGAAAGCATATCGTAACTTAAATTAATTTGATCCCTTCATTAGGTGAATGGTATTGAATCAAACTATGATAATTGTTTCTCTCTACCACAATCTTAAAACCTTAAATCATAGGTCTAATAACAATAATTATCTTATAATAAGTTCAATTAGTATGCCTAGTCTATTTCAAACATTCCAACAAGAATAAAACCCTTGATTAAATAGTCTAGTATTGACACAGTAAATAAAATTAAAATGCGATTATTCTACAGAAAACAATTGCATAATTGGGTGCTAATACATTGACAACAAATACATAACCTCTAAATCGCAATTCGTAAATTAAAGCAATAACAAAACAATATGGCGTCGTCTCAAAAAGAGTAATTTTTTGCCGAAAGAGAGGAAGAATAAAGTGCAGTCAACCTCCACTCAACAGCTCGATAGGTGTTGAGTAGTTTTGGTTGTATAAGTCCACCGTCAACCGTTTCAAAAATACGAAACTATTGGAAATAGAATGACTCGACACTCAACTCAACAGTCAACCATTTCAAAAATAGGGCCCCTGGAGTTAAAGGCGGCTGTGCCTAATGACGCAAGTTCAAATAATGTGGCTACATGGTAGTTCAACCAAGCCAGCTTTTTACAAGCGAACAAGAGAGAAAGAAAGAATACTGAAAGTTATCATATCAATGTCATAGAAATAAAATAACAATAACACTATCCTATCCTTATCAATACTAGACAATACTTATCATCTAAACTTAACCTGAGTAACCTGACCACCTATTCTTGTGGCAATATGCAATAATTGTAACAGTTAAGTGTAAAATAGTAAGAAACATACTTGAAACTATAAGTAAGTACAATCTTGGTAAATATTTGTTACTACGGGAATTTACAAATCAGGCAAAACAATTATTCTGACACTCTAGCCTGAGGTTATTACTTTAGAGTCTAGACTAGGCCTACATTTAAGTTATAAAGATAAGTTCGGCCTAAGTAATGTTTGTAGTTACTGAGAATATTTATATCAAATAGATCAAAGATGAATACCAATTCGTGATATTTATTTACCGGTACCGGTTCTATAGGTGCCTTCAAACAAATTTTTAATTTTGATAGCCTAAGTTAGGCCTATCTTACTTTACAGTTTTTATCTCCTGAATCCCTAAATATACCATTATTTTTCACTGCTAATGAATATTTCTAAAGATATTGGGGTACAACATTACAATAAACAAGATGGGACGGATAACATTGATGAATATTTCTCAAGATATCGCCGTAAAAATATACAACATTACAATAAACAAGGTAGGATGAGTGACATTCAATTAACTGTGGGTTAACCAACGATCACATAAGACCAATATAGGCTTGAGCACGCCTATCTAACTTTCAGCAGGTGAAGCCAGGTCCGCCATCTTACTGTAGGTTAGAAGCGCTAGATGTCGATGAAAACGGCACCAAAACTCAATGTTCCGCTTCAAAATAACTCGACATTAAGCCTACTTAGACTAAAGGTAAATCGTTGAAACATCGTATGAATGATATCAATAAGTCTAAGTTAGGGCACTATTGGTTCCAATAAAAAGCTTAAAAGTTAATATTTTCTTTTTTAAATCTTCAAATAAAGTCGGTACTTGTAAATGAGTTATATTAAAATACTGTATGACATGAAAAAGTGCGTCGGCTGCTACTTTTTTTAGCGAATTTCCCTATAGGGAAGTAGCTATTACCGTAGGTCTCATGGTAAGACCTAGGCCCGGGACCGACTTACTTTTCCATTTTGATGTCCCCAGAGGCCAAAAACACCATTCGTTCAAATTTTTATATATGTATATAATATATCTATAAGTTATATATATATGTGTCCATCCGCACGATAACTTGAGTAATTTTTGTCCGATTTTGATAACAATTTTTATGAAGGTGTATGAACGAGTTCGCGAACCAGCATGATCAGACTATGGAACGGGGGTTTACGGGGGTAAAAATAGGTTTTTCCCATTTTTCACCCAAAAAACATATAGCAATTTCTTTCCAAACCATTTTGTAGAGCTTAAAAAAACAAATAATTTAGTATATTGAAGTGTTATTATGCGCCTAATGGTTACGGAGAAAATTCAAAAAAAAATTTAAATTTTAAATTCCCATGTTATTCTTATGGAGAACAAGTAAACTGTTGTAGTTTGCTTGTTTATGAACACATTTTGATAAAATTTGGAAAATGTTTTTATTTCTTACTAACTATTAACATAAAAAAAAAACAGTTTTACCCTCCCTGTTGCAGCAAACCTAATTACTTGTTAAACTAATTCTATTTAAATCTATAGGCCTACTATTATATAAAAATCTAATGGTGTCTGTCTGTATGTGTGTTACTAATAGGTGCAAAAACTACTGAACCAACTGGGCTTACATTTAAAAAAAATATAGCTTCCATACCAAGGACCATTATAGGACTATTCACATTTCGATACTGACCGAATGCTTTGCCCCTTTGGCTTTAAAAGTTCTGAGGTGAACATTTTAAAAGTAAATATTGATTGGTCTCCATGGCTGTGATGAGAACACTAACAATGTTTGTTTACATTTGCTTTGACATTTAAATTTAAACAACAAGAAGAACTGCTAAACTGCAAATTTCACAATTTCAGACAGCTGATACAAAGAAATTAAATATAATATTTTCCATAACTATGAGGTAGGTTTATTTTAATCTAACCTTTTATCATGGATTATTTATTCTAAAACTATGTCAATGATTATACAAAAAAAAAAAAAAGATTCTATAACCGTTGCTGTATCAACTCCGGCTCTGCTTTGTATTTTTTAAAAGCGTCTAAGTTATGAAAATAATGTTATTGATATGTTTTCATGGAAACAGTATGCAAACTACAATGTATAGATGTTTTGTATGAATTTGGAGGCTACTTTGAATAAATTCTAACTGCTTAACATGTGTTGGATTAACAACTTGCACATGTTTACTTAATGGTAAGTGTGAAAATGTAAAGGCAATGGACGATAGAACCGATTAAAAGAACTGGTTTATTAAGTTGTTTGTTGATGTTTTTGTAGAGTAGAATCAGAGATGCAATGAAACATATACTGTATTTGCTATTATATTTTTTAGTCCTTGATGCTTTGATAATCATAAAAAGATTAAAATGTTTCTATTTTGTGTCCTCTTCCCGTTGCAAAGCACGGGTTTAACAGCTAGTAGGAAATAAATGTTATATATTTAAGTAGACAATTTAGTGTAAATCCAATCAGGCAAATGGAAATTTGCTTAGTCAGCAGGTTTGCTGCGGCGGGGGTATTTATTTTTTGGTCAGGTAGGTAAGTTTAAGTTAAAAAACGGTGGATTTTGTAGCTAAAGAGTTTAATTTTTTGGATCATATTTTTTTTTTATTTTTAGCTGGTGCAGTTTGGCTGTAATTTAAATTGTAATATAGGGGCTACCCGCCGCGCCGCGTTGCGTCATGCGGGCAGATTCTGCCTACAACCTTACTTGTAATACAGTTTAGATAGCCTACTCAAGTTTGGAGCTAAGCCTATAGGCCTACAGAAAAGATACTAAAATAATTAGAAAAACACGGAGTAGGCTACATATAAATGTTCTTCGTTTTATTTTTTGCATTCATATAAAAATTAATATTTTTTAGCTCTTTCAAAAAAATTCATATGCCAGTCAGAATATAAAGGAGAGTTGTATAGCCTAGGCTAAAGAGTTTCAGAAACTATCTTGTGAAAATTTGTAGGTACATTGTAAACCAAACGCCAGAACTTTATCAAACTTTAATACGATATAGATACTTATATTATAAATTAATTTGTACCGTAGCTTTTCAGAATTGTTTTTCCCCCAAAAAGTTTTTGTTGTTAATTATACAAACTAACTTTTTCTAAGAAACGGTTAACGCTAGAAAACAAATTAAAAGCATTTTGAAGGTCATTGTGTTAGTAATAAAAATTACAATATAAAGGCGTATTGTCACGGATATCTTTGCTATAAACTAACATTTAATTAGTTGCGTCCGCTATTAGGGCTCATCACAGCCAGCAGCCGCCATCTTAGTGAAGATTGGTGAAAAATACTGGCTTCAAGCCACGGCCAACATGCTCCATCTATTGGTCTTATGTGATCGTTGGGGTTAACTAAGCCTACCGCTGATTGTTTTCAACCACAAGACAAGCAACTGGAAGTAACAACTTTTGAACTTTATTAACTCACTCTGGTTCTGTCATCCGCAATAGGCATAGTGACGTAATTTTACTTCACTACAACTAGAACACAAAACAAAAATACTCATAGTCATATTCATACTGTTAGGCTGTATGCCTACCACAGACAATAGACCATTAACTGTAATTGGTTCTATGGTCTGTGGCTGTACGAACAACAGGATTTGTTGCTTGAAATAAGCTTGAAATACCAAAGGCAGTACTTGATGTTGGTAGAAGGGGGTTTTCTTACTTCGGGCCGGCTCAGTACAGTCTTCCATGATCGCTGATCGCAGCAAAATCGTGAACACTTCCCGTAGTCATGGATGAAACATTAGGCCTATCATAATCTGCCGTGATTGCAACCAAACCTATGACATCATCATCGTCTCCTGCATTCACGGCCCAATCCCTAATATCTCCCGTGACCCGTGGTGACGGGGAAAAAAATTTTTCCGTAATTGCGGCAAAATCATAGATAGCCTAGGCAGATATCTCTTGCGGAAAAAGAAACGTCATTATCATCTTCCGCAATCGCGGCAAAATTCTGAACAACTCCTGCGGCCGCAGAGACATTGCCATCGTCGCCCGCAGGGAAATGCTCTCATCAATAGGCCTATCTGCGATCGAGGCAAAAGCTTAGGCCTAATCTTTCAATTTCATGAGCGTGATCCTCGTGGACATGAAAGCTTTTATTTTTAATTGGGCATAATTCATTGTATTGAGTACTGAGAAAATTGGCACAAGCTTGATTTTCTGACTTTGTGCTTGATCTCTCAAGCTTGTAGGCCAGGCTCTGCTTGGCTCGTAAATCGACATTATATAATAATCAACAGTTTCCAAAGCAAACTGATTTAGAATTGATCTGATTTGGCCCGAGGCCCATAGGTAGGTAAGCAACATTTTTTACATGACTCAAAGTAAACAAATCTAAAGTGCAGCCTCCTAATGTAGTAAGAAATGAAATTAAATGAAAATCCTTCTTCAGAATCATGAAAGAATGGAATTACTGTATTTATTAGCTAGTGCCCTAGCCACCCAGGTTAATTTGCCGATTTGATCGTAAAAAAATTGTCAAGTTCATTTAGTTGAATCAGCATAAAAGGCTCCCTCTGGTGTGACCTGGCAGGGGCTCGGAGGATTAACATTAATATAATAATAATAATAATAATATCTTTATTGCCGTGAAACAAATATAAAATTGCATGGCATCCGTCAACATTTAATACAGGCATAACAAGCGACAGCAAAACAAATAAATACAACAGCATAAAACAATTAATAATACAAATGAGAAATATTTTATCTTCCTAGGCCGGGGGCCACATTGGTTCTAAATACGGCGCCTTCACACAGTCCACGAGGACAGTTGATGCAACCTGCATGACTGATGACAATTCTTTTACTTAGGTTGGTAGAGAATTTCTATCAACCGGTCAAGTAATAGTGTCAGTTAAGCTGCTGTAAACTACTTTGTCCTAGAGCTCTTACTGGTTTTAACAAATTTTCGTCATAAAAAAGTATGGTGATTCTCATATAAATATTGTTATGCCCGTGTTGCTGAGCCTGTCACACAATCACAGGCCCATGTCCCAGTAAAATTTCCTGAAAAATCCTGGTCAAGGCTCACGGGCTACCAAGATGATCATAACTGAGACTCAACAACAACAGAAAATCAATTTACATAGAATGAAATATTTTAAAAAGAAATATATGGAACAAAAATGTCATCCAAAAATACCTAATTGTAGAGTCTCCGTGGAACTGTACCTTAAAGTTAGAAGTAGATATCTAATTTTTGTATCTAAATTTGAAATTTATAAACTTAAATAATCGGAAAGAAAAAAATGTTTATCAGTGTAAGCGTTAGACTCAGTTAACAAACTGGTTTTCATTGGCAATTTTTTTCATCCAACTAGGCTAATAGAGATCGGCGTTCTTAAGTAATTGTTTTAACATGTAAAAAGTCTCTGAAATAAATGTAAATTTTATCTTATACATAGCAGAAATTCTCTCCATTAATAAATATTGACGTTTAGTTATTTCATTTTTGAGACTAAACTTTCACTTTGTAAGGTGGGTTTCAAACTTCATTTCAATGAATTTGGAATTGAGATTATGTAAATCCAAACCTCAAAGATTTAGAAGTAGTCATTGTTTTACCATCTTGCTTGTGGTCTCTTAGATTTAGCCTAGAATCAAGATTATTTTATCTATCTGAACAACACAGGTTATTATTCTTTTTTGTGGTATTTATTTTTCTTGTAACTATAGCTATTTTTAATTGACTTAGCACATGTCTTACTTTGAAAACTTAAATCAACATTTTTTTTCAAAGCCATATTTTACTGACTCATAGCCAAAGCTTTCTTATTTCTTTTCAGAAATAAGTACGATGTGTCTGAAGTTCGTAGTTGTTGGACTTCTATTTTTGTGTGGTACCACTAGTTTGGGAATCCAAGTAGTGGATATGAATCATGAATCATCCAATGTTAAATCACATACTCCAGATCCTCCTCCTAAAAATGAGACAGCTCGAATGGCTCGTTACATTGTACATTATTCTGGTAAGAAATGTATTTAAATAGATCTTCCAAGAAAAATCAGTGCTATGATTAGTGTGGTAGGTTAGCGAATTGATCTAGCATTTCAGGTTATTCTAGCTACAGACAAAAATATTACTGCTAACGAGATAAGACAACATAATTTATTGGAAAATTTCTCAATTCAAGATCCTTAATAAGGAAGAATTTTTAATTTTCTTAGTATTATTATGACTACTATAAAGATTCCAAAACTGTTGTTTTTACGGAATGAAATTACTGTATTTGTTTGAAACAAAACTTATATTTGACATCCAAACAAGGATTTTTTTTGTGTTCCTATAGAAGGCCAATTTTGCTTTTTTGTCTTTAGAAAAAAACATGTCCAATTTTTGTGCCAGGCCTACATATTTTGAGTCTTCTCTACCTGTTCCGTGCATGATATAATTTACCCTTCTTATATTAGCTGGGTATAAATGGTTATAGTGCTATCCAACGATTTATTTAGTCTAACTGGATCGCGCCCTGGCACGCGAATACCGTGCCTCAAATTGTGGAAATCGAGTGCACCACAGCATTGAAGTAGTGTTGTAATCACAGACATATATCATGCAGTAAAGCTCGTGACATCTAAGCTGGTACTTGGCCGATCGCTACTAGTATCTAGTTCAAAAACATTATATCCTGTCATGCCGGTTGCATCAACTGTCCTCGCGACCCATATGAAGGTGCTCAAGTACATAATACAAGGGGAGTAAACCATGTGAGGCAGCGGAAATCCCTACCTCCCTCCTACACTGCCCGCGCTAGGCCAAGTGCCAGCTTAGATTTCACGAGATGTACTCATAGGGTTGCCACTAGCCATGAAAACCTTGAATTATGCCTGAATTTCTGTATTGTAACCATGAAAAAACATGAATTATGCATGAATTTTTCATTGGACCATGAATTTCCAAAATCATAAGTAGCCTAATGATACAACCTATACCATTAAATTTGCCAAATAAAATATTTCTCATACACAAAGAGAAATATCTCTTCTTCTTTGTCTTATGAAGAAGTTACAATGCTACTTCAATGCCATGGGCCACCCTGTTACCCACGAGTGGTGGAGGGGGAGCAGTGCGGCTGTGGCAAACGTCACTGACCTACCAGCCGAGCGCGATCTAATTAGACTATATATCGATGGCGCCTTCTTTATGAGCAGCCTTTGGTTTGATCCTGAGAAAAGATAATTGTATTTTGATGGTTTAACAGTTTAAAACTAAACCCATCTATCCTTGAACATAGGGATGTTGATTAATCATCCTGGTTAAACAAACAGATCATCTTAGTTAGGTACAGTACTAGTTTAGTAAAAAAGCTACAAAGAGCAACCAATCTATTCATATTCACTGTCAAATACATACATATAGTACATCCTTGTCTTAGTGAAATGGTTGAGTGATTTACATGTTTCCAGATTGGTGTGCGTTGGCTCACATTTCTCATCACTCCAACACCTCAGGTTTTCCCGTGGCAAGGGTTTATTCCACCGCAGATGGATTCTACGACACGACTACAGGCATGCCTTACTTTTATGTCAGCAAGATGGATGCTCACATCAATGACTTAGATGTATGGGGTACATGAGAAATTAATTGACTAATCAATTTAATATGTCACTGAGAATAAATTTTTGGTTTTTATAGAGGTAATTTTCACTGTTGCGAAGAATATAAATTTTAATGTAAATCGTTGAACTATTTGTATTATTAAGTGTTTTAAATAGGCCTTCTTTATGTTTTGGCAGGAAAGGAAACCCCTCTTGTTTCCAAGCGACCCTATACCCTAACCCTACATTTAGCTACCTAATTGGCCTTGCTTTATTTTTGTATTTTGTTGCTTCAGACGGATAGCAAGTGTTCGGTGACCATGTCTCTAGCTGAGGGGAATTATTGTCGCAAGGAAAGTCTTGACCCTGAAGATCCTCGCTGTGCTCAAGTTATTCTCACTGGCAAGTTTATCTTTGTAAGTTGATACAGTAATCTTTGTTACCTACTCTATACAAACTGATAGTGAGATTTACTACTGAAATAATGAATTTATTTTCTCTTTTACAAACATTTTACAATTTGTACAATCAGTTACAGAAAATCAAATACATTGATTAGTTTATCTTACTAATATTATAAATGTGAAAGTTTGTGTGTTTGTTTGTTTGTTTGAAGTTCAATCACGCATAAACCACTGGACGGATTGGGCTGAAATTTGGCATGATGATAGCTCACATTCCCGATTAACATATAGGCATATTCTTACCTCAAAAATCCTTTCGGGCTCCGCCCCAGTGGCTCTGTAGTTTCCCATGTCAACCTTATGAGTATTCATATTTAAAGGGAATTAAAATATTTAGTCAGCTGTTTCAACTAAAGAAGTGGGTTCTATGATATACAAAAGCATTAAAAAGTTTTAAGATTTACCAACAGGGTGCAGCACAATATATTTTTTTTTTTTGTTGCTAAGCAGTAACAAAAAACTGTGATACGCAATGAGAACTGTCAAAGTAGGATTATTTATGATTATGTTTATGTTTTTGATGTCATAAATAATTTGTGATTTTTTTGTGAATTCGTAATATTTTTATTTTATTGTTTAGGTGAAGTGGTAGAACATTATGGCTATGGTAGATGTGTAATACCATTAGTATACCGTAAATTTAAAGAAGCAAATTTTATCAAACTTTTCCTCCCCATTGCAAACGCAAAGTTTGAGTATAACTGCAATAAGCATGTTAAACTAATATGCCAGCCCCGTACGAAGGACGGGTACTCTGCTAGTAATTTTATAACATTGACACTTAGAGTTAGATCAAATTAGTGATTTATGCTACAGTAGACTCCCTCTTATCCAGACTCCTCGGGAACGAGGTCAGTCCGGATAACGGTTTTTCCGGTTGAACCGACGTCCCAAAAACTCGTTAAAACGGACCATTTAAATGCATACTGTATAAGCCAATAATGATTATTACGTATTTAGACATGTGATCACTGGTTTCAAATCGTTCCCACGAGAACATTCATCGTTTCAGTACCGCCCAATTCCTTCCGATGTAGTCCGGTTAAACCAATGTACTGATAAAAATTGTCCGGTTAAAGAGATGTCATTTCCGCCGAGTGTAGTCCGGTTAAGAAGGATCGGTTGGTTAGGCCATGTGGAGAGAATGCCTCAAGGAAGACAGCCCAAAGAACTATTGTGCCAGAACATGGAAGGGACTAGGAGAAGGGGTAGGCCGAGAAGAAGATGGCTTGATGAAGTGAACCGGTTAAACCTGATGACCTGAGGATGTTGAGAGTGAGGAATTGGAAAGAGATGGTGCAAGATCGAGGCGATTGGAGGCGAATTGTAGCAGAAGCCAAAGGCTACCAAGGCCTGTAGAGCTGCGGAAGTAAATAAGTAAGTAAGTAGTCCGGTTTAACCGTTGACCGGTTAAAAGGTGTCCGGATAAGAGAGAGTCTACTGTACATACAAAAGATCAAGTATAGGGCCTCCTATGCATGTTTAGAGGTTCCATTTTAAGTTTTTAAATAAACAAAAAAAATCAGTGTTCAAAAATGATCCTTCGTACGGGGTTGGCAAAAAAGTATAAAATGCTTATTGCAGTTATACTCGATCTTTGCGTTTGCAATATGAGAAAACACGGTATGAGAAAATTTGCTTCCTCAAATTTACGGTATGCAATGGTATTACACATCTATTATAGCCATAATGTTCTACCACTTCACCTACACAATAGAGAAAGATTGATTATTAAAAATTCGCAAAATATCACAAATTATTCATTTAAAAACATAATCACAGTTTTTTGTTGCTGCTTAGGTCAAATTAGCTGTTTTCATAAATAATGAAAAAAAATAGTGCTGCACCCTGTTGGTAAATCTTATACATTTTTAATGATTTTGTATCATAGAACCAACTCTTTTAGTTGAAACAGCTGGCTAAATTCTTTAATTCCTTTAAAACATGAACACTCATAAGGTTAACATGGGGAACTGCAGAGCCACTGGGGCGGAGCCCGAAAGGATTTTTGAGATAAGAATATGCCTATATGTTAATCGGGAATGTGAGCTATCATCATGCCAAATTTCATCCCAATCCGACCAGTATTTTTCGCGTTTACTTGTCACAAACATACATCCAAACTTTCTCATCTTACTATTATTATAAATTTGAAATCACGCATTAACTACTGGACGGATTGGGCTGAAATTTGGCATGATGATAGCTCACATTCCCGATTAACATATAGGCATATTCTTATCTCAAAAATCCTTTCGGCTCCGCCCCAGTGGCTCTGTAGTTCCCCATGTTAACCTTATGAGTATTCATATTTAAAGGGAATTAAAGAATTTAGTCAGCTGTTACAACTAAAAAAGTTGGTTCTATGATATGCAAAAGCATTAAAAAGTGATAAGATTTACCAAAAGAGAGCAGCACTATTATTTTGTTTGCATTTATGAGAACAGCTAATTTGAACTAAGCAGCAACAAAAAAACTGTGATACGCAATGAGAACTATCAAAGTAGGATTGTTAACAGCTATGTTTATGTTATTAATTTCATGAATGATTAGTGACAATTTGCAAATTTTTAATAATTCAGTTTTTTCTATTGTTTAGGTGAAGTGGTAGAACATTGTGGCTATGGTAGATGTGTAATACCATAGTATACCGTAAATTTAAAGAACCAAATTTTATCAAGCTGTCTCCTCCCCCATTGCAAACGCAAAGCTTGAGCACACTGCAATAAGCATTTCATACTTATATGCCAACCCCGTACGAAGGACGGCACTCTGCTAGTTTATAATATTAGTAGGATAAGAAAACCTAATCTCACTCAAAAACAAATATTCAGCTTAGTAGTATAAAAAATAACACATCTGTTCAGTTTTAACAATCAGAAGGCCTATATACTCTATACTGTGTAAATGTTGCTGAAAGTCAAATATCTGAAGTAACATTGGTACCAAAATTATAGTGTAGAGTGAAAATTTAAAAACGTACGTTTTCAGGAAAAGCACTTTTAAAATTTTTTGTTCCGTTTTTTGAAACTTTTTTAATTTTTTTAATTTCATTGACATTTGAAGTTTCATAAAATGTCCATGGTAACGCAATATCTTTGGTGATTTTTTATTAATGGAGCATCTTTGATGGAAAAACACGAAACTTTGTCACGACCATCACGGACATAAAACTGAATATTAAAAATAGTTAATATTATTTTTGTAACTATGTTTTGCTATTAATTAATTTACTTTTATGGCCATCATACAATAAACAGCTCACTAAGCTTTTGATATATATGGTCTTTCTAGAAAAAAATTAAAAAACTCAAAAAGTTGAAAAAAGCCAATAAAATCTTTTTTAAGTTTGAATAACTCCGAAAAAACTTACCTGAGACCCGAAAAATCGTTATGTTTTTATAGAGGTGTACTTCTTTTGTATATAAAACATTGAAATATGATGATATTTTAATTTTTGAAATTTTTATGATAGAAATCATCAACGTGATGGTCAGGGACAAGCGGTACGGTCATGAATAAAATCTTTAAAATAAAATCTTTTTTAAGTTTGAATAACTCCGAAAAAACTTACCTGAGACCCGAAAAATCGTTATGTTTTTATAGAGGTGTACTTCTTTTGTATATAAAACATTGAAATATGATGATATTTTAATTTTTGAAATTTTTATGATAGAAATCATCAACGTGATGGTCAGGGACAAGCGGTACGGTCATGAATTGTCTGGAAAAATTTAAATCTTTGTAAACAATCCTTCAATTATACTGTTAGTTATAATAAAAATATGTGTTTCAATTGAACTAAACTGTTCAATTTACAATGATATTTAAGTTATTGTCACGACCAAACACAGTATAATCCATAAGGCTGGATTGGTCGTGAAAAAACCCGCGATGGTCGTGAAACTTTGGTCGTGACATTACGTGTTATTTGGCTCTGTTCTGGCGGTAGCCCTGAACCTCATGTTCGAGGATACAAAGTGGACTTCTAGGTTAATGAAGCAATGGAAATATCATATCAACAAAAATTAACCCCACGTCTACTTCATCAAATGACGTATGGTCATGGACACACCAAAATTACAAAAAACACAAAATTACCTTTATTAATCTTGTAACTACTTCTTTCAACACAAAACGACCGGCACAAAAAACTTGACGTACACCCCGAACTAGTCTCTAAAACGAACTGAAGCAATCGACGCCAGGCTTGCCACTGTCGTGCTCCAAAGTTGAAAATTTTTCCCAAATGGTCGTGACGCCAAATCGAGGGACAGACTTATTTTGTCATGGTAGTCAGTTTGCAATGACACTAAAATTATAATATGCTCCTTTTTTGTAAGTTTAATAACTATTGATGACATAAAAATATGGCTTTATATATTTCGGCATGAATAATTATTCTAAAAACAGCGTGAAAGTTGGAAAATGTACCCTAGGGACACGTCATGGTCGTGAATTTCGAGACTTTAAAAATACGAAAAAAATACCTAGAACCTGTTTAAAACCAAATAAATGTGTGTAACATGTTGCCCCCGTCCCAAAAAATATTAAAATACATAATAATAAACTACAAATCCAGTATCTACAAAGTAAAAGGCCAGGGACATGAAAACGTACGTTTTTAAATTTTCACTCTGTAACTAAATTCCTGGATTCTAATGAAGCCAAACACTCCAATTACATTGCTGTAATATAATATTGTTCATTGTTTTTGGTATTGATTTTACTTAAGCACCTGGCAGCACGTATCACTCCTGGACCTTAAGCAACAGTTCAATAATATTTTGGAACTCATTATTATCATATCATGATTATTTTTTATACCTTCAACAAAAGAACCCTTTAACTAACAGAACCACTGTTAACTGATATTCCCTGATTGACAATTAATTAAAAGCCTAAAGTGATTTCTTTCTCAATTTTGCTAGATAGAATAAGGTATCTAGACATATGTAAGCCTATTTTCCGTACGACAACCTTACAAATGGTGTTTTGTAGCATAAATGATTTGGTTGCATATGTGTCCGTTAACATGATAACTCAGCAAGAGTTATCCGATTTTGATGAAATTTTATATAAACGTGTAAACCTACATTTATTTTAACGAGTTCGCTAGCCAGCATGATCGGACTATGGGAATAGGAACGATTGGGGAGTTTTATGGGGTAAAAATGGATTTTTCCCATTTTTGACCAAAAAAAAACATAAAATTTAGCAATTTCTTTCAAAACCGTTTTGTAGGGTTAAAAAAAAACAAATAATTTAGTATATTGGAACGTCATGTGCTTAATTGTTTAGAAGAAAATTCTATAGATTTAGTTTGTTATTCTCATGTAACTGTTGTGCTTTTAGCTCGATCCTAGCAGTAAAGAGTGGCAATTAGCCAAAGCCTACCTTTTTCAACGTCACCCAGTCATGAGCTCTTGGCCAGAAGGTAAGACCTTGCTAATAGATAAATGTATTTTTTTAGAATACACAGTGTTGGGAAGTAGCATTAGCTGTAGCTACACTACTTTTAGCTTTAGCTGTAGCTAGCTACATTTTTAAAGTAGTTGTAGCGGAATTTTAGCTACTTTTCTCGCTACATTAACATTGGTTGAGATAGTGATTTTTATCACAACCTTACGTGAAACAACCTTTTTCAAACTGAGATTTTCAAGAAAATTAGGCCTACTTTCTTGGCTTCATACAGCTGGTCACAGTCGTTCATTACCTATTACAACGTTGCGTGGATATGGAGGCCATTATCTTAGTGTTATCCACATTTTTGGCTCTCAATTCCTACTCTATGATTACTGTCAGATAAAATAAAATCGCTAGATGCAGACGACGTTTGAAAGTTACCGGTGACAAGAGAAGCTATTGAATGCTTGCAAGTGAATGACAGGGAAATTAGTAATCAATTTAGTTTATTGTATCAATTTAGTTTAAACTTGGGTTTTAATGGAAACCAACACTAAACATTAGAATAATGAGAAAGCTGGTCTATCAACCTTTGCTTCAGCTGTTGATTGTGGTTTATCATCACAAGCCCTTCTTTGGTTAGATTACAAAGATTTTCTAAATGAACGAAGAGGAAATTTCCTGATGAGATTCAAGATATGCCTAGAATACATAATAATTGTAACAAAAAAATCTCCATATAACATGAAACTTGCATTGAAAAAGTAGCATACAGTAGTTTGCTCCTGCTAACAGCTCTTGTCAAGGACTATTCCTAGGCTATGCTATTGGATTAATATGAATACCAAGTTCAATTAATAGGAATATATCTGTTTAGTCCTTGTAAGAACAAGTCTACTATAGCCAACTTGTTACAAAGCCAAGTATGCCTAAATTTTATTTTTACTTAACAATTTTCATTATGTTTAAATTAAAAGCCGATTTCAGGATAGGTTGCTGAATACTGTTTTCTGCACCAACGTTTGTTGAAGCACAATTTGTTGACCTATGCATAATGACAAAGGACGATTTATTGACATTGAAAAGTGTTATTCATAGAACAAGTAACATATTACTATGGTTAAAAGTTATAGCAATGTAGTTTTTAACATTAAAAATAAAGAAAGGCAATAAACTCTAATTTCAGTGGGCTAGGCTCTGTAACACGAAAAAGTATTTTTAAATAATCGTTTTACAGTTTTATTGTTTTTAATAGTTGATAAAAGACATCTATAAATGAATGTATTTTAAAGAAATGAAATGGGCTTTTAAAATATAGTTTGGTTGCATGTCCTTTGAACTTAATGAAATTTACATATAAGATGCTTAAAAATAATGCAATATTTAAAAATAAGTAATAAATATGATGGAACACCCAACTAACTTATTTTGGTTCTGCTGTTGTAATGTTAGGTTTATGTAGTTGCAATTAATTTTACATTTACCTAATGTGCTTGGAATAAAAGTAACGTCTTTGGAAAAGAAGCTAAAATTGTAGCTACATTTTAAAAGTAGCTACCCCAACACCGAGAATACATATATTTTGTGTGTGCATTACTCTTGGGTTACAATACCTGAAGGCATGTAACAGATTGCAAATTATCTTTTTATTTGATTCACATTCTTTAAGTTGGTAAAAAAGCAAATACAATCTACATAATAATATGTAACATAGTAACATGTACATAGTATGTAATCTATACAGTATAATACAATCTACATATCAAACAAAATCAACATCTATACTATATCTGGTCTATTAGGACGGCAAATCTATTAGTGAGTATATTTAATCTATGGCTTTGTTTATATGATTTTATTTTCTCCACCAGTTGATAGCTGTGGTGTAAAAACATCAATTCAATAACATGCACAATCCAGGTAATATTCACAATCCATTAATCAAAACGTTTTAACATTCTTTAGACTGATTTGATATGTTAAAAAATTTCAGAACACCACTGGCAAGTTGGGAAATTGAAGATTGGCCAAATCCAAGTAGCAGACAACTTTGGGGGTAGCGCCTACCCGTCCGTCAAGGACTACTTTGATGCTCTACCATAACTCAGTAAAAATATTGAATTAGGTTTTATATTCAATAGTATATTATTCTCACAGTGTGATCATAGTACTTAAAAACATTATGGTTATGGAAAATTGGCGCTCCCGCCAAGGTAAACTTCATTCTGTAATTTGATTTTTTTGTGGTCTCAGTTAGCAACCGCTGTATAAAACCAATAATATTTCATTTATTTGAATTTAGCTGTATTAGAAGTATTTGGATGTAGAAAATGTGCTTAAGAGGGTTCGCAGGAGGTATTAAATGTTTGTACGATCATTTTCATGGCGTAGGCTGATAACTGTTGTTAATTTGACCAAGGTAGGGCAATTTTGCGTCAGAATAATTTTGTGACTGGACAAGAAAGATTATCCAACTAATAAGGACTTTTTAATTGTACGATCTGCAAGCAAAGTTCCTCCAATTCAATCTCTGTCACGATGGAATCTGATGAACACCCGCTGCTGACAGATATGTACCAAATTCTCACGCTTTTATTGATACCATAACCAGAGTAATTGTCTGGGGTTGGAACCAGGTAGAATAGTAGTTGATTAACACGCTCGCTGCAGAGCGCTAGATACCGGGACGGCGCCAGGAGTGAACTGGTGCTCGCTGCTGCGTAACATTGCCGCTGATACACTAAATTACAGTAAAAACAAAAGTAGTAATACTGGATAGCAATGTTCTGCAATAAAACTGGCTTTGGACATAGTACCAAGCGATTCTGATAAATAGCATACTACCCAGGTTGCAGTCGGTAAAGTAGTGTCGCTATCTTTCTTGATAGCAAGATAAATTGCTATCCATTCAATTAAAAAAAAAAATCAATTTAATAATCCATTCAGGAAAGAGGTGGGACAAAGACCTGTTCTATACGTCCCTGGTGGTGATTTTGGGAAACTATATTTTTTACTGTCAGAAAAGTACGTCCCCACGAGCTGCAAAGAAATATAGGACGCTCGTGACCCCACTGAAGTCCGTAGCAGCGAACGTGTTATTGAACACGGCTTTGGTCTCAGATTTAAAGTTGCTCGCTGCAAACTTTAAATTACAGACAGCTCTTCTATATTTTTATACATATCAGTTCAAGCCTACATTTTACATGATTTGTGATACTTTTAAAAATCTGACTATAAATTTGAACAGATTTATTTTATTTTTTTAAGTAAGTTGAGATCTAGCCTACATGAAATATGTTGTGGAATTTTTGGTAGTTATAAGGCCAAATAAACAAAGTGTATTACATTAATTAAGTAAACAGCTATTGTTAAAGGTTGACTTTGATTTAAATGATAAACCAACACTAGTTGTACAGTAAGCGCAAGCAGTCTGGGCGCGCGGTTCTGTCTCTACTAGCCGTCCTGTGTACAGGTAACCCATTCCCTCCACCTTGCCTAGCCATGAAGACAGCTGAACAACCCCAGAGCCATGTGGGCCAGATGGTTTTGGAAATGAGCAATAAACACTCCCCCCTACCCCCCGGGCCCTAGCGTGGCTGCGCGCCCAGACTTAATGTGACTTCTGTAGTTTATTGCTAATTGTGAATTATATACATCTCCTGAGCTACCAAAAAATCTAACAGTTCACTACAGCCTTATATATTGCAGAGTCCTTTTGTAGCCTACTATATTTATTTAAGTTGTTATATGTACAATTACAAAACATAGCCATCCTTGGTTACTGAATCTGCATGGGATATAGAGTGAAAGAAGTACTGTAGTGCAATTATTTATGTTACTTTGTTAAGATTGTATTGTGTTATAGATTATGGGTTGTAGTATTGCTTCGTTCGGGTATTTGTTTACAATACATAAGTGTTTTGAATCAGGTTGTCTAATTTAAATTTTCCATCCATGACATGCAATTTTGGATTGTAAAAAAAATTATTCACTAAAACATGAAAGTACAGTACCTAATAAAAACATACATTATAACCAAATTTCTTATTGTTGCCAAATTTGTAAATTTCATCCAGAAGAGCTTTCTTTGGCTCCTTCAGTTGTGTATTGTTTTATGTTCACATGCTGTAAATTGTTTGTTTTATTAGATCGAAAAGGATTCTTCATTTTATAATAGTTACCATGACCTGATCGAATATGTTAAGACTGAATATATTTTATATTTATTAGTTTCTACTGTTTCTTTTCAAATCCTCTCCTACCCTTAGTATAATCATACTAAATGTGAAAGTTTGTGTATTTGTTTGTTTGAAGTTCAATCACACATTAACTATTGGTCGGATCAGGTTGAAATTTGGCATGATGATAGCTTACATTTCTGATTACCTTATAGACATATTCTTATCACAAAAATCCTTTCGGGCTCCGCCCCAGTAGCTCTGGAGTTTCCTACGTTAACCTTATGAGTATTCATATTTAAAAGGAATAAAAGAATTTAGTCAGTTGTTTCAACTAAACCAGTTGGTTCTTAGATATTCTATACCATTATAAGTACATAATATGGTTTACCAACAGGGTGCAGCACTATTAATTTTTTTTTTAATTTTATGACAACAGCTAATTTGAACTAAGCAGCAACAAAAAGCTGTGATACACAATAAAGATTGTCAAAGTGCTTAGTGTTTAAATATTAATTAAACTAAAAACATATACGTAGTTTTTAATTTAATTAATAATTTGCGATATTGTGCAAATATTTTATAATTAATAAATTTTATTTTAAATTATATTCATTCCAGTTTTTCATGAAGATTTGATAATTTACTTTTAGCGAATTTCCCTATAGGGAAGTAGCTATTACCGTAGGTGGCATGGTAAGACCTAGCCCCGGGACTGATTTACTTTTCCATTTTTATGTCCCCAGAGGCCAAAAACACCATTCGTGCAAATTTTTGTATGTAGGCCTATAATACGTCCGTGAACGCGATAACTAGAGTAATTTTTGTCCGATCTTGATGAAACTTGGTCTGAAGGCGTAAGGCGGGATAAACTTGAATGAGTTTGCAAACCAGCATGATTAGGAAGCATAAGCTTTTATGGGGTAAAAAATTGTTTTTCTTACTTTTGACCCTCAAATCACAAAATTTCCCGATTTATCTCTAGACCTTTTTAAAGATTGTAAAAAAATTAGTATATAATCAAAGTGTTTTTGTGTGGTTAACGGAGAAAATCTAAAAAAATTATAAATTTAAAATTCCCATGTTATTCTTATGGAGAATTATTATTGTAAAATGTTGTATTTTGCTAATTTATTGATATATTTGGATCAAATTTATTTATTTTATATACTAAGCTTTTAATATTTTAATAAAAACACATTTTATTAGTTTCCTTGTAGCAGCAAACCTAGGTACTCATTAAACCTAATGTTACACTTGACTCCCTCTTATACGGACTCCTCAAGACCAAGGCCAGTCCAGATAACGGTTTTTCTGGTTAAACTGATGTCCCCAAAAACTCATTAAAACAGACCGTTTAAATGCATACTGTATACAGTATTTGACTTAAATTTAGGAGAGTATTGTAATTATACTGTAATAGATACAACTTCCGAATCGGAGAGGTGTGGAGGGGTAGCAAGCAGTGGGGAGACTGCTGTTGCGGTGTTGCCACGTTGTTAGTCGCAGTGAGCGGGAACTGCCACTTCCTCACAGAATATGCGCGCCAGCACCAGCTTACAACGCACGCAACGTTACACTGTGTGCTGTGCTGTAATTTTGTGTTATCTGTTGATAGTTAGAGAACATCTGCTGATAGGGAAGTGTTGTAAACAGAACAGCGAAGAAGTACAGAAAAATTGTTCCAAAATAAATTATTCCCTATGTTTGGAACACTCTTTGATATTTACTGACTTCTGGTGAGAAACAACATTTCTGTTGTAAACCCAAAATATACTGTGAAATACACATGTGACGACTATTCCAACATCAAAACGATTTTTTTAGCTTAGGGGACTTCAGACTTCTAAACCCTCGCGGACAGTATACTGTACCACAGCCACCTGTACTCGAAGTAGTCACTGTCATAACACTGGAGGAACTGCACATGTGCGTGCGGGCGTGGAGATACAGTGCGATATGGCAACAGCGCCTGTTGCTATGGAAACCGCGTCAGGCTCTCCTTGCTCTTTTTGGTCAGGTAGTCAACCTGGCAGTTCTCCCTCTTACTCGAACGTCAGATCGCCCCACCACGCCGATACGGAAGTTGTATCTATTCAAGTATAGACACGTGATCACTGGTCTCAAATCTTTCCCACGAGAAGTCATTTCAATACCGCCCACTTGGCCACTTCCTGTCGATCTAATCCGGTTAAAAAGTGTCCGGATAAGAGGGAGTCTACTGTATTTAAATAGATTTGATTAAATATCAATTCAGAGAAATGGGAATTTGCTTAGTTGGTAGGTTTGCTGCGGCAGGGGTATTTTCTATTGTTAGAACATTATGGCTATGGTAGATGTGTTATACTATAGCATACCGTAAATTTAACAAACAAAATTTTCAACTGCAATAAGCATTTTATACTTATACGCCAACCCCGTACAAAGAATACCCACTCTGCTAGTATTTTATAATACCCCCGCCGCAGCATACCTGCCGACTAAGCAAATTTATATTTGTCTGAACTGATTTTCAAATCTATTTAAATAACATTAGGTTTAACGAGTACCTAGGTTTGCTGCGACAAGGAAACTAAATAAGCGAGTTTTTATAGTAAAATATTAATAATTAAAATAAATAAATTGGCCAAGTTTAATCCAAATGTATCAATAAACAAGCAAACTACATCATTTTGCAATATTCTCCATAAAAATAACATGGGAATCTTAAATTTACAATTTTTAGAATTAGAATTTTCTCTGTTACCAATAACCCTACAAAAACATTTTGGTATACTAAGTTATTTGTTTTTAAGCCCTTTAACAAGGTCTAGAGAGAAATTGAGAAATTTTGTGTTTTGAGGGTCAAAAATGAGAAAAACCATTTTTTACACCATAAAACACTGTTCCCATGGTCCAATCATGCTGGTCAGCGAACTCATTCAAGTTTATCCCGCCTTACACCTTCAAACTAAATTTCATCAAAATCGGACAAAAATTACTCAAGTTATCTATCACGTTCACGGACATATATAAAAATTTGAACGAATAGTGTTTTTTGCCTGTGGGGGACATCAAAATGAAAAAGTAAATCGGTCCCGGGCCTAGGTCTTACCGTGCTACCTACAGTAATAGCTACTTCCCCATAGGGAAATTCGCTAAAACTGGCAAGTTAGGCCTATGAATCAAATTAAGTGACATGTCTGTTGCTTACAAATAAATTTTATTCGTAAAGCCATTTTCATCTCTAAGCATGCAAATACAGCTCATATCCTTACAGCTAGGTGGCTTGAGGAGAAGTTCCCCCACTTATTTTTTGCTTAATGTTTTACGCACCAATGTTTACGCTTAATGTTTTTACGCAATGTTTTTACGCTTAATGTTTTACGCAGTGATTACCGGTATTTTTCTAGTTGTGTGGTTTTTACGTTGGTAGCATTGCTAAAAAACACAACAATCAAATTAAAATCAAACAGCTAATTTTTGTTATTATCTTATGTCATTTCAATATTTGTATTTGTATTGTCTCGTTCTTATTCTGTTTCCATAGTAAACTAACCATGAATAGACTTACAAAAGAGGAACGTTTGCGAATTGTGCAAGTTTATTTTGTTCAGTTCAGTCAACTTACAGTGCACTTCGTCCGCTCTACGGACCACATAATCGTCCATCAGAGTGAGGTATTCGAACTTTGGTGAATCGGTTTCACACTACCCACACACCAGTTGACAATAAGCATCCACAAAGACGCCGTAGAGTAAGGACCAAAGATGCCGTTGCACGTCGTCTTTGTGCTGTTTGGTATTTTTATAATTGTTAAAATTGTTATTATTTTATGTTTTTTTTTCTAACTTAATACAGCAATTTCTCAATTACCTGTATATGGATTTGAGAAGATGATGTCAATTTCGTGTTCTACATTAAATTTTGACTAAGAATAATAGAAAATTACACGAGGATCAGTTGTAAATACTCCATTGTAAATAGATTCAAAGATAAAAATTAAGATGTTTGATAAAAAATTAAAAAAACATTGGTCTATTGCATTTTTCTACACCCTGTATACAGTATAAGGTGGTTAATATGTAAAAAATGTGTAATTTTATAGGCTTTCCAACCATACGCCACACCATTGAGCTTTGTGTCTGCCCAGTGGAATGGACTGCAAATCGAGCATTGTTTAAGTGAAAACCTCCAGAATATTTGTGTTGTCACAAGAGATATTTTAAAAAATTGTATTGGACAATTGAGATCTAAATCTTACTGGCTATTGTATTAACGAATCAACATTCAGCAAATTTTATCCATTATAATTTCGATGCTGGGTTGAAGTTTCCTGGATGTCAGTACTCCGTCATTTGATAAACTTACCTCCTTTTCGGAAACATAAAATATTGACATAAATAGGTACTAATCACATTAAATAGGTTATTAACTTTAAATAGGTTGCTGAGTTCCAACACCTTAATTATTTTTTACAAATCGAGCACCGCTTAAACATAGTGTTTAGAAGAGGATAAATATCAAACATATAATGTTTTTAGAAACTTTAATCATTAATCAGAACTTAAGTAGTAAATTTGGTACAATAGTACAGTAAGAATGATCTTATAAGTAAGGAGAAATCTTATAAAACAATATATTTTGTAAAATATAACAATACAGATCCATAGTAAAATTTTAAGTCCAATTGAAACTAGCTAGCTATTCTTACTCATCTAGTCTTATCTTATGCTATAATCTTTAAATCTTATTTGTATAATTGAAAAAAAACTTTGCAATTGTTGAGTCAAAAGAAAGTACTTAATTGACAATTTAATTTAAAGATTCAGTAGGTAAGTGTGGGTTTTAAACTGTTGACTCTGGCAAATGATTGTTCACTTAATGTGGCCTCAGACTGTGAAGTGACCAAATTTGTGTGTGGTTTAATTCAAATTTGGTGTAAATATTCATAAGATCCAAAATAGCTGAGTGAATCTGCTAATCAAGTAAAGTGCCCAGTTTCTTGTAACTTGTAAACCTCATAAAACGTGAAAAAATAATACTGGCATCAGCTTAATAATCTTGAAATAAATTAATTTGAACAAAATAAAAACTGAGCCATACACAAACAAAAAGATCACACTGGTCGGGTTTAACACTGTCGGTACGTCTAATATCTACAGAAATTAAATAGCCAAACTTAGTATCAAATAAATACAAACATCATTTTCTAAAGTAACAAGTAATTTTTAAGTAGTTTACCCCACAATGGTGAAAACTGAGAATCAGGTTTACTTACTATGTAGATGATGTATGTATATAAACAAAAGTAAAAACAAGATTAACTACAGTATCTATGATACACTAGGAAAAAATATAATTTGTACACTTAAAAGCTACTGTATCTAGTTTATTTTCTGGATACATCAAAGCAACTCTAAACTTAATGATTATCTATATACAAATATCCTAAAAGTTTTAACTTTGACCTTACTATAACAAGATTACAGAGTTAAATTTAAGTTTGTTAATAAGATAAGTCAAAACTTAGACATTTAAATAAACACTATTTATAAAAGGTAAACAAGCTCAGTGAAATACTATAGTTGCAAACTAAAAATAACCATTCAATGGTAAAAAATGAATGAAAATTTACACTATGGTTTCTCCTAAGAGGATTCTTTGTGGTTCAATCAAAACTAAAATAATTAAATAGTTGTCTTTTGCATGCAAAAAATTAAGTAATGCTTGACAATAATCTATGATGGTTTCACTTTGATAGAGAAAATCAATGTTTTTTCCGAACAATAACTTAATGGGAATGTTACTGTAAAATGTCTGTAATGTCCGTAGCAAGATTTATATTACCGTAAAGCATCAATCTGAAATAAGCTACAAGATCCAAAAGTACTTTTTGCTAATCAGTTAATACTAAGTTTTGTTATAAAATAATGGAGGGACTATAAAAAATAGTAAATTCAATCTATAATAAATAAACAGATATCTTAGCTTTGTGTTACTTGCTTGACGTACAGTAAATAAATATTTTTGTAGTTTTATTAAATGTCACACCTACTTACTTAAATTGTAATTCAACAAAACTTGAAAATGTCAGGCAGTAAATATAATTTCTGTATCCAATATTCTTTAAAAATAAAAATAAAATAATAAAAATAAATTATTTAGTTGTAAATAATTTGATTAATACAAACTGATGACTGTATGATGACCAATTTAAAGCAACAATACTTTACAATCACCATTTACTCCCATACTCTGTGAAATATTTACCTCACCAACTTTAACTTTTGAACAAACTTGGGACATTTCCCTCACACACCACAACTTCAACACTATACATCCTTCCTTGTTACTCTTAACTTCATTAACCTATCTGTCAGTTTAGTAAACTGCTTCTTAATTGCCACTTTCAATAGAGTTTCGCCTCTACTGTTCATAGAGTTTACATAAACAAAATACAGATCATCATTGACGAGAAAGGATAACTCTTTAATTTTACGAGAAACCTTTTTTTCCTTTCCGATTTTGAAGATCATATCAACTCCAGTCAAGAGGTGTGCAACCTCCTCATGATTATTCTCTGTAGCGAGTTCTAAAGGAGTTTTCTTCACTTTAGACCTAGAGTTGTAGACGGCTCCATGCTTCAACAAGAGACGGCAAACATCATAGTGACCTGCTTTTGCCGCAACATGTAGCGGAGTTTCATTATTGCTGTTCACGGAGCTTGGTGCGACGCCATTTTCCAGCAACAGTTTTACAACTTGGGTATAGCCTTTGCTAGCAGCAACATGAAGAGGATGAGACAATTTCATACTGCAACCTCTGGCTTCAGCACCTTTAGAGAGGGCATCCATCATAACATTAACGTCATTCGACTTTACACCGGACAAGAACATTTTTTGGTTTTCCAGAAGATCAATGGCAGCAGGAGAGAACAGGGGTTTTTTGGAATTTTCACCGAGAAGGGGGAGGTCTACAGGGCAGTGAAATTTCCAAAACACAGACAGGACGGTCAGATCTGGATTGAATGCAGCAGTGTGGTACGGAGTAATTTTGTTGACATCAAAGAAAGAATAGTCAGCTCCGTGTTCCAAAAACGTTGTTACAACTTCTTTGTTTCCTTTGCTAGCAACAAAGTGGAAATATGTCCCACAATCCAATGGTTTATTGACTGCAGCTCCCTCTTTTACAAGCACTTGTACAGCTTCAAAGGTTTGTCCGATTATACCCAATTCCATCGGAGTCTGGTTATAATTGTTGGGAACATCGATCTGCGATCCATTCTCAATTAGGAGTTTGACGACATTGGCTAAATCCTGAGCAAAAACTTCTGATATCTTGCTTTTTTCTGACATGACAGCACTATGGATCGGGAGATCTCTAGTGATTGGAGTACTCAATTGGACATCTGCTCCTCTTTTGAGTAACATATCAGTGGCTTCCACACTGCACAGAGATGCAGCATGATGTAGCGGGTAAATATAATGGACAGTAGACAAATGATTTGGTTCTGCACCAAACTCTAAAAGAATATTCAAACAATTCACATCATTGTTGGCAGCAGCATAAAAAATAGGCGTGAATCCTTTTCCACACTCTACCTCTAAGTTGGCTCCATGTTCGGCTAACAGCTTGACAATCTCTGGCTGCTTCTGCTTCACAGCTATGTGTATGGGAGTGTAACCTTCGAAGTTATCAATCACATTGCAATCAGCTTCATACCTCAAGAGGAGATTAGTGACATCAACATTGTTGCACAACACTGCTCTATGAAGAGCTGTAGAGTTGTACATGTTCTCAACAACGCCGTTCACAGGGAAACCTCTGCGTATGATCATTTCAATTATGTACTCTGGTGAATCAGACTTTATGGCAAAATACATTGGAAAATATCCGTTCTGGAGAACACAAACGTCAGCTCCTGAGGTGATGAGCAGTTTAGCTATTTGGAACTTCCCAACATCGAGGGCCATATTTAATGGAGTCAATAGATCGTAGGAGTATGAGAAGAAATCAGCTCCTTCAGCAATGAGCCGCTTGCATATGCGGAAGTTTCCTATCATGATAGCTCCTTGCAGAGGTGTAATGTTGCGCCCCTGCCTCAAGTAATCACTCAGGAGGTACATTGTCTTCACCAGAAACTGCATATCGAGAGAAAATCTATCTGCCATTAGCTGCAACTGTGGAATATTACAGCTCAACAGCCCACGGTGCAGAGGTTGATTGAAAGCACTGAAAAAGATGTAAATATATCAGTAAAAATAATTATATAGCTAAAATAATGTAAGCCTGCAGCAAGAAATATAATAATCAAACAAGACAACTATTAACTCAGTCTAGTTGACATGTTTAACTAGTTAGGTATAAGTAGGCCTACTCACATCCATCTTATACATCACATCAAAAATATCATGTTTCATTTGAAGCTACGTGGCTTCTGAAAGTGGGTAGGCCTATGACATGCAGCATTGAACTATGCAGTGCACATAAGTTACACACATTACGTTTCATTTGGCACTAAAGGCGATACTGCAATTATAAAGGTGAAAATTATGGTTTATGAATAGATAATCTAACAAAAAACCACTAAGTGGTAACACTTCCCCCGCCAAGTCAGCAACCCAAAAAAGACAATAAATAACCACTTTTCCGCCAAGTAAAACAATGTAATGTATGTAAGTTTGGCAACTTGGCGGCAGACTTTTGCTTGTTTTTTTTTCATTAAAGTTACGTTGGTGGATAATTTCACAAATCAACTTCTCTAATTAATTAGTCCAACTAAGTATAATAATTTCGAGGTAATCAGTAAATATAAAACCATCACTATTATGATTTTATGAAATGTGACACAAATAAGGTCAAATTTTGTAAAATAAGTTCTCATCTAGCAATGTACTATTGGGAGAGATACTTGCTCAATGAAACTAATTTTATGGTATTTTTTAAAGTGATCAAGCAAAAGTCTGCCGCCAAGTGGCCAAACTTACATACATTACATTGTTTTACTTGGCGGAAAAGTGGTGATTTATTGTCTTTTTTGGGTTGCTGACTTGGCGGGGGAAGTGTTACCACTTAGTGGTTTTTTGTTAGATTGTATTTATTTTTGTAGAAAATTAACAGTTAAAATAAAAATCCTCTTTTCTCTTATATATAGACCAGGGCACAACTACACATAAAATGCATTGGTGTTACATAAGTGTTCCGATAATTAAACCCGTATATCTAAAGACTAGTGTAAATTGAGCCCTTATTAGAGAAGTAAAAATGTAATCAAACAGATTAGGTTTGTTAGAAATAGCATAAGGCAAAACAAATATTGAAAAACTCATTTTTATCCTAAATTTACATACCACTTTTTACATTCACTTTTTTGCTTGTTTAACATACGTAGACGGATTTTCCCGATTGTTTTATTTGTTTTAGTGTATCAAAACATAAAACTAACCTTATTTAGTTAAATAAATTTTGGCAATATTATGAAGAAACAATGTTAAAACTAACCTTAGTACTAGTACTAAGTTTCAAGTTCCTAGGTTTCATATGTTTTGATAAGTAGTATTAAACTGTTAAAAATGACGAGCTGCTGTACCAGTGTACCATCGGTACACTGCATTTTTCAATGGAAAGTATCGGGGAATATCACTGCTCTAAGTAATTTTATATAGTAAGTAGCTCAAATCATTCGGTATACCTGAAAAAAATACTTTATAAAAGTTTTAAAATAATTTTTCAGCTGATCCTATGAATTTCTCTAACATTTTAAATTAATTGAGATTTAATCGCAGCTGATCCTTCTTTTGTTTTGATTTTAATCCCATGTTATTTAAATGGGCCAAAATCGTACTTTGAGGGCTTGCCAAGGGTTTATGGGTCAACGCACCGACTTGTGACCCTCAAAAGGCACATCTACACGCTAAGGGCTTTCAAACAACATAAAAAACATTAAAATTGAGCCAGTGGTTTGGGCTGTAGGTCCGTCAACATTTAAGGAGAAGAAGGAGAACACGGAAAATTTGTGAATTTTCAAACTAGTTTTTCTTGGCTCAAACACAACCTTTTTTTAAATTCTTTTTTTTATTTTGCCAAGAATGATTGCCCCTATCCAGTGGATGAACAATTATTTTAATAGCTTTTGTTTCTTCAGAGCTATAGACGAGTAAAAAAGCCACTTTGTCACGTCATGTATATATACACTGCAGCAGCTGTGTACCGCTGGGGGACTTGGCGGGGCGGAACGCTGCCGCGTTCCTTAATAATAGTAGGTATTGAATCAGAAATTAGTATCTGATGATCAGTAAACTGTCATTTTCAGGGGAAAATACTGCATGGTACGAAAGGTAATAGTGGGGGTAAACCGCTACCTAATGGTAATAGAGGGGGTAAAGCAGTTTTGTATAGCCCATTTTTTGGTTGGTCAATACTCAAATCAAATCAAATCAAACATACTTTATTTCCAAAAAATAATACAGAATATAAATTATAACATAACTTCCAGTGGACAGACACCCTACTTGCTATTGCATAGATAAAATAGGTACCTAATTAAATATAAAAATACAAATAAACTTAATAATAACAACAAAGGATGTAAGGTCTCAGAGAAGCTATGTTAAACATAAGGAAATAAGCCTACATGGGCTGGAAGCCTGTGCGTAGGCTCAGTCGCTATCAGTGACTGACGTATTTGTTGGAAAAATAAATAAAATGGAAAATAATATGAATATAAATAATATTTATATTCATAGATATTCAGAGAATCTTAAAAACAAATGATTTAATATAATTGTAAAACTATTCTGATTCTAAATTGGTGAATGAGCAATTTAAGGAATGAGGCAAGGCGGAGGGCACATACATATAAATATATGTAGTTAAGAATGTTCGATGTTAGTAATTCAGTTATTCAGTAAAGATTACGGGAGAATAAAGTAGAGTCAAGTCTGCCTGTACTCTGCTTTGATTAGGAGTTCTGATTCATCTACACCCCACTCTATCAGACAGCCAGTGATGCATTTTTTGAAAATAGTAATCGATGGAGAATGGAACAAATGATAAGAATTACAACGGGAGATAACATTACGATATAAAACTTCAGAAATGTAAGAGGAATTTGTTAATGAGTAAGACTTGGCTAAATGGGAGGTAGTTATTCCAACATTCTGTGCATATCGGGTATTATAAGAATGTGATGTTTGGTTAAAAATAGAATCGAAGTTCTTGAAAATATGAATTGAAAGAAATTTGATAAATAACTGTCTGACACTGAGTAAGGATAGTTCACGAAATAATGTGTTAGTGGGGTATCGAATTGGCTTATTGAAACAAACTTTGAGTAACAACTTCTGAAGGACAAAGAGAGGTTCTAAAAAAGTGGGAAAAGCTCCGCCCCATACGATAATGCCAAATGAAAGTAACGACTGGACATAGGCATAATATGCTAGCTTCATTTCCTGTGTTGTTAATATGTCACGCAGTTTCCTAAATGCAAATATATATTTACGTAATTTAGAGGTTAAAAAATGTATGTGGTCAGACCACTTCATACGATTGTCAAAAATCACACCTAAATATTTATAGGAATTTACTTTCTCAATTTGCTCACAAGAGCAAAATCTATTTAAAAAGTTGCCACAAGAGTGAATTGAAATATTTTCCAAGTTATAATCAGTAGTATCTCTTAGTGAAATTGGTAAGAATTTGGTTTTTGAAACATTTAAGGATAGAACATTTTGGTCAAACCATTTTTGTATTAAAAGAAGATCATGATTAGCATCATCACGGACGTTTTCCCAACTTGTCCCGTTTTCAAGAATGACGGTATCATCGGCAAATAAAAACAGTTTGCCTTTAATTGAAAGTTTTGTGATATTATTTATATAAATTAAGAACAGGACAGGCCCAAGAGTGCTTCCTTGAATTACCCCATAGTTTATGGGTTTTACGTCACTGGAAATTCCGTTAATCACCACACTTTGCTTTCTGTCGGATAAATAGCTTTGAAACCACTGATGAGCGGTGCCACGAATGCCAATGTTTTCTAGTTTAACTAATAGCTTTGTTCGATCAACAGAATCAAATGCCTTTTTTAAATCTAGGAATACTAGCATACTCCGTCTGTTGTGAGAGATATTATCATTTATGTTTTTACTTACTTCGAATAGAGCGTCAGATATATTTTTTTCTTTTACAAAACCGTACTGTTCTTTGCTTAAAATTTCGTTTGTTTCAAGGTAATTAACAAGCTGATCTTTCACAATGCGTTCTAAAATTTTTGAGAAAACACTCAGCATAGATATGGGGCGGAAGTTATTGACGTCTGAAAAATCGTTGGATTTGTAAAGAGGATATACTTTGGCTGTCTTAAAGGGGGTTGGAAAAGTGCCTGATGTTAAACTTAGATTGATCAAATGAGTTAGCGGTAGGAGAAAAATATGTATTTGTTGTTTTAGAAAATCAGCAGATATATTGTCAAAGCCAGGTGCAGACCCTCCCCTAAGTGAGTTAACGTAACGTGTGACGTCATGTTCAGTGACTGTGTGTAGCGTGAGCTGCGAGTCATATCTGTAGTCAGCGTCGTTCAGTATTGGGGTTCCTCCAGAGTCAATATTATTGGCCAGATTTTGACCAACAAGAGAGAAAAAAGTATTGAAATCACTAGCAATTCGCTTTAATGTTTCATCGTTAAAAACATGTGATTGAGGTAAAAACTTCTGTACAGGAAACGCATCTCGAGATTTGACTCTCCCAGACAGCTCATTGATAACACCCCAAAGCACTTTGGGATCTTTATTCCCCTGATTAATTTTGCTTCTGTAATAATCTCTCTTTGCATTTTTTAACGATCGACTTAAATTGCTTCTAACTATGATAAAGCGAATCCTTAGGTTTTCATTAAAAGGTTGTTTTTTTAGAGTTTTACTAAGCTTGTCCCTCTCACGAATTTGTTGAACAAGATCCAGCGTTATCCAAGGTTTAATCTTTTTAAATCTTGTATTGTTATTTGATAATTTTCTTGAGCTTTCATTAGACACTGATATAATTTCGTTAAAACGCTCAGAACATACATTGGTATCGAAACAGTTCAGAACGGTTCCCCAATCTGCGTGAGTAAGATTGTCGGCAAGTAGTGTGCGGTCAATGTAAGTGTGACGTGTCTTGTCGGACTGGTTATTGGATAAATTGTTCGTGGTTACAGTCAAATTCAGTGCAGTTCCATAGTGATCGGTGATACC